CTTGGAACAGCGTGCTGCTCCAGGTACGCGCCGCAGTTGAGGCCGCCACAAAATACGCGGGCGCCGCTACCGCTACCTCAGCAGCCAACGCCACCGACGCAGGCAGCTTTCGCGCCGCCACCGGTGAGGCCCGGGGCGCGCGTGCGGGGAGGGCGCCGCGCCGCCGGGGGCGTCTGCCCCTGCCCCGGACTCCTCTTAGGTCAAAGTCCAAACACTAAGCGTTGGCTTTTGGGGTGCAGTGGCCCCCCCACACCCCTGACCCGACCGCAGCCTCTCCAGGATCTGCCACCCACGAGGACCCCGGCGCCTGGATCCTCGGGCCATTACAGGACGTGTGGCCCGTGACGCTGCGCCCCAAGGGGCTGGGGAGCCTGCGGGGCCTGGGCGGCGGCAGCTACCGCCTGTGCCTGGGCTCGAGGGGCGCTGAGCCTGCTGCGGAAGCCCGGCAGCCGCGGCTCCCGCGCCGGCCTCGCCCCGCCGCCGCCCGCCCTGCGCCTGTCCCTGCTCAGCGTGCGGCGCTGCGGCCACGCCGACGCCTTCTTCTTCCTGGAGCTCGGCCGCTCGGCGCCCACCGGGCCGGGGGAGCTGTGGCTGCAGGCGCCCGACGCCGTGGTGGCCCGGAGCATCCACGACACAGTCCTGGCCGCCATGAAGAGACTGGGCGGCGGGGCCGAGCCTCTGCCCCGAGACGGCCCGGCCGGCTCGCCCGCGCCCCCCGCCCTCTCGCCCTATGAGACCCCGGCCCCCGCCCCCCGGCCCAGAGGCCTGGGGGAGAAGGCACAGGCGACGCTCCGGTCCCTGGCGCGGCTGGTGCCGGCTGCCTCCCGCTCGGGCGCGCCGGGCCGGGCCGGGGCCGCCGCCGCCCCGGAGGACCCGGGCCCCGACGACTACGTGCACATGGTGGGGAGCTGCGAGGGGGACGACTACGTGTGGATGGCACGCCCGCGCGACGCCGGGCACGTGGGGGGCGCAGAGTACGTGCCCATGAACCCCTTCCCACCGGCGCCCCCTGCGGGGAAGCGGGGGGCCGAGCCCCGGGGTCCCCGCCGCAGCACCGACAGCGCGAGACCCGGAGGACCCTGCGCTCCATCTTGGACAAGGCTGGTGCGGGAGCGGGGGGTTGCGGGCGTCCAGCCCAAGGCCCAGCCGCCGACCCCCGACAGCTGCCTCAGCTACATGGACCTGGACCTGGTCCCTCCCCTGGAGGTCCGCGGGGACGCCCCTAGGGCCCGCCCTCACGCCTATGTGAGAATCAAGTTCTAGAACCTTCCCAGGCTCAGGTGAGAAACAGCAAACAGAGCCAAAGTTACTAATGTGCCCCTGACCTCCACTCCCCGCCTTCTATCGGCCTCCTGCTCCCCAGGCCCTGAGGCAGCAGGATGTGGCTTGGCAGTGACCCCCTGCTGCCCCTTGACCTCCTTTCGCGGGGTCGCCCAAGAAATCCTCACGCACAGATGCCCTCCAAATCCGGTTCTTTCAAAGAAACTTCTAGAACATCTCTACCCCTTCCCCCAATAACTTACACAAGTCTGGTGTTTCTCAGCTAAACTCCTGACCCTGTTTCTTTGCAGAATTTTTTTTTTTTTTTTTGTAGGTCGTGGAGCTTGAACTCTGAGCCTGGGGCACTGACCCTGAAAACATCAGATAAAGTGAGTGCTTCATTGTCTTGAACCCTTCCCCCACTTTCCGGTTTTCTT